CGCAGGTATCATTAATCCCAGAGAAATATAGAAGCAAGCGGTGGCAAACTTGAATCACTCATAAGAAAAAAAAAATAATGTAGATCGCAAGAATATATACATCTAAACATATCATGCATTTGTTATCGAGTCAGTCCAAGACGTAACCGAACCAAAAGTACATATGCAAGAACAAACCAAACCTTTTAGTAGGAATAGATGTTGAGAAAGGAGGAACGCAGGAATTTCACTTCTATGTTTGCTATAATCTCATCACCGCCTCCTTGCTAACGGAAATTGTGATTCTCTGAAAATTCAATTGGGACGGCAATGGTTTAAAGCCCAAATCGGGAGCAGAGGACAAGAGAGGCGAGCAAGGGTTTCGGTGATTTCAGTCGAGAGATGAAGGCGAGGGCTTCGGGGAGAGTGGAAAAGGTGAAGCAAGCGAGTGCTTCGGGGCGAGCAGAAGAGGCGAAGTAGGTGAGTGCTTCAATGCAGAGAAGCAAAGCGAGGGGAAGGTGAGGCGAGGGTTTCTGTCGAGAGGAAGTGATGCAGGAAAGGGCCTATGTCGAGAGGAAGGGCCGAAGGATTTGGTTAGCGCATATGACGAACCAGGCACGAGAGAGAGATCAAGCGACAGGAAGAAGAGATGAAGAGGAGGCGAGGGGGAAGGTGAGGCCAAAGTTTTGAGCTTCGATCAAGAGAGGGAAGCAGGCGTCGAATGGTGAGAAGAAGCAGCTCAGCTGAATCCTATTGCCGCACTTTCAAAGTGTCAATTACAGAGAATTAGGCGGGAAATTGATGAATTTAGATTTGTGGAGGAGTTTTCTTTGGCTGGTAATAACTTTTAATTAAACCCAATTAATCCGAGATTAAGCGATTAATTTTGAAATTCGAAATTCAAAATTACGAATTGTGTGAACAGAGGAAATTAGTCGTGTTCAGCTCGGCTCGAACCCTGGGCGAATTTAAACCCGCCTTTTTTAATTAATTAATTATTCGCATCGATTTTTGAGTCATTTAAGCACGCGCGAAGCCATAGAAATATTGGTGTCCTTTCTGGCTAATGTTGACATCACAAACGTGCTCGCGTGGTCCGTTTCTTTATCCAAAGTCGTCCGGACAAATTCGTCAACGATCGGGCCAAAATGTGTCAACTTTTAATTTTTGTTCGAATTTTGGGCTCGTGACGGATCATTTTGAAAATTGATTTTAGTTTGATTGATGGAGCAATGTGTGTGAGTGTCAGTGTCGTGAGTTGTTACGTTTATGCATGTTGAATGTGTGAATTGTAGTGTTTGTGCATGGTGGAAGTGGTGTAAATGAGTAAATGTATATGTGTGTGAAAGTCAAAAGGAGTGTTCTTAAGGCCTCATTATCCTACGGGAACTCATTTTTTGTCCCTCCACATGTTAGTCCCTAACCCTTGTAACTAAGAGTTGAGTGCTTGGGACTACTCATGTGAAGTTTTCACAAAAAATGGGCCAAGAAATTATTTGAACTTATATGTAAGGCGGGTTCCATTACCAGTCCTCTAGGACAGTCAATATGAAAGTCCTAAAGCTAGATCCTAGGCTCTAAGACAAAGAAGCCAAGATCTTACCAAAATGAGGTCAACAATGGAGATAGTGTTATCAATATAATATCTACTCAAACAGTGATAAGGTTAAATTTAATGATTGAACCTCATCTAATACTGTAATACCAAAAACTTGAGAAACCAAGTGAAAGTTTTAAAATGTACACAAAATTTTGCATTCCTCAAGTTTTGACCAAATCAATTTTATAAAATCATAAAAGTCAAATTGTTCAATTCAATGTATAACACTATATAAATTTTGAATGGAATCAGAGATAACAAATTTTGAAATTATAAGTTTAATTAACTTAATTAACCCTTCATTAAATCATTAATCTTGCACCCTCACCGTAGCCACCGCCATTTCACGCGATTCTCAAACATGTAGGATTCTTAGTCATAAATTTTGCAGCACTTATTTTCAATTATGATGTGAAAAGTGGACGACATGAGGTAGTCGACAACTAGCATAAAATTTGTCCAAAAATCATGTCATGAATCATTTTGATCATTATGTAAATGTCAGGGCGTCCCCTCGAAGCGACGCATTGTATGGTCTGAATATAATGAAAAGTGTTCAAGGACCGCTACATTGGCATCCCAGTGTAGTGTCAAATAAGCAAGAGTTCTCACATTACGAACGAAAGATGATAAAGAAGAAATTAATATTATGATAGGATCATGGAATATAAATACTCTCACTAGTAAATTAAAGAAATTAGTTGATATTATAATTCATAGAAAGATAAATATCTTATGTTTTTAAAAAACTAAATGGGATAGAGAAAAGACTAAGGAGATTGATAACATAGATTTTAAACTTTAGTATTCAAATAAGAGTCGCACTAGAAATGGCGTATGTGTAATTAAAAATAAGAGTTTGAAAGATAATGTTCTAATAATTAATAGGGTTAGAGATAGAATTATAACCCTTAAGATTATTATTGATACTAAGATTTTTAGAATTATAAGTGTTTATGCTCATCAAGTAGAATCAAATATAGGTTCTAAAGATAAATTTTGAAATGACTTAGAAGACTTAATGCAAATGATACCGCTTGAAGAAAGAATTTTTATTTGAGGAGATTTAAATGGACATGTTGGTAGAGTGGTAGAAGATTTTAGAAATATTCGTAGTGGCTACTGTTTTAGTGTGATTTATGAAGAAGGTAGAGTCATATTAGATTTTGTTTTAGCATATGATTTTGTTATTGTTAATACTTTATTCAAGAAAAGATATGAGCATATTATTACTTATAAGAATGGATCTAATAAAACAAAAATTGATTATTTTCATATGAGAGAAAGAGATTGTCAAGAATGTAAAAATTGTAAAGTCATTCCAAGTGAGGGTTTAAGTACTCAACATTGATTATTAGTTCTAGGTTTTAAGATGAAGAGTTGTAAAATAAAGAATATTAGGAATCATCGTCGTAGAATTAGATGGGGGTATTTAAAAGACAAATAAAATTTTTTTATAAGTAAAATTCAAGATTTCAAGATTTGGGATGTTCATAAAGAAGCAAATTTTATATGAGATAAAGTAACAAACACTATTAAACAAGTGATAAAAGATATACTTGGAGAATCAAAGAAAAAAGTTTCTATACATAGATATAGTTGATGGTCGAATAATAATGTGCAAGAAAGAAAAAAATATAAGAATATATGTTATAAAAAATGGTTTAAATGTAAAAGCTTAAAAAACTGTGAAAAATATCAAATGGCCCGTAGGGAGTCTAAGAGAACAATCTGTGACGATAAAAATTCTACTCTAATGAACTTTATAATAGATTAGATAATAATGAAGGTAAAACATATATATATGTATAAACTAACCAATTAAAGAGAAAAAAAAAGTAAAGATTTAACTCAAGTAAAGTGTATTAAAGATGAAAATCAAAAAGTTTCTAAGAAAAAGATATTCAACATATGTGGGTGAGTTATTTTAATAAACTTTTTAATTAAGTTTCTGAAAATACAATCAACCTTAGTGATCTTAATATCGTTAATAATAATAAAATGTTTCATTTTTATCGTCGCATTAGTAAAAAAAAATTGAGGTGGCTTTAAAGAAAACCAAGGGTGGAAAGTTTATAGGACGTGATAATATCCCAGTTGAAATGTAGAAATATATAAAATATTTGGGAGTGGAATTTCTTGGCTTAACTTTTTAATATTATTTTAAAAACTAAAAAGATGTTTGAGGACTGGAGGAGCATTTTGGTCCCCATTTTTTTAAGAATGAAGGATATGCACAAAAGTGTGCATTTTATAGAAGAATTAAGTTGATGTGTCATACTTTAAAATAATAGGAGAAGGTAATTGAACATATATCAAAACGCATTACAAAGATTTTTTCCTAATCAATTTGGATTTATGTCGGACAGGTCTATTATGGAAGCTATACATTTTGAGAGGTTTGATGGAAAAGTTCAAAGATAATAAAAAGGATCTACATATGATTTTTATTTGTTTAGAAAAAGCTTATGATAAGGTTCCAAGAGATATCCTTTGGAGAGTTCTGGAGAAGAAAGGTGTTGATTTGACTTGTATTCAAGTCTTAAGTCATTAAAGATATGTATGCTAAAGCAGTTACTTGTGTTCGAACGGCAGGAGGATTGACTAAATATTTTCCTACTTATGTTGGATTACATCAGGGATGGACTTTAAGCCCATATCTTTTTGCTTTAGTTATGGATGCTTTTACCTAGAATACTGTTGATTTATATTATAGTAGCTGGCTTTGGCTACAATGCAATTATCTTGATCTAATTTTGATCCACTGAGAAACTCTTTTCACTAATCAAATGCCAAAGAAAAGTCACTAATCCGAAATTCACACTTAAAAATTTTTGTATATAACTTATTCTCCTTCAAAACTTGTAGCACGGCATGAAGATGATATGAATGGTTACCATCATTCTTTGAGTACACAAAAATATCATCCATATAACAATCATAAATATACCCAAATTTTGAAGATTATACTCATTAAAACCATAAAATGTGATGGAGTAATAGTTAATCTAAACGGCATTACCATAAATTCATAGCGCACATCAAATCTTGAATATTGTCTTCCTTATATTCTCTCATTTAATCCTCAACTGATGATAACCTAATCTCATATCAATTTTTGAAAATGTAAAAAGCCCCTATAGTGATTGAAAAGATCATCAAACGTAGGGAGTGAATATTTATTCTTATTAATGACCATAGTTAGTTCTTCATAATCAATACATAACCTAAAACTTGCATCCTTTTCTTTACAAATAATAATGAAGCATTCCAAGATTTGAGTTAAATAAAGTTGCTAATATAAAATATCAGAAGTATATCCAAATATAGCAACACAAACATTCTTAAGTGGGTATTAAGCCAGATAATAAGTTGATCAAAAACCCGCATTAATTAGACAACTGCAATTTAAAATCCTTGCCTTATCACCATCCTTTGTCAATTTTAAAGCAGTTTCAACTACAAGAGAGAGTGCGTCAAATTCAGCTGTTTCATCTGCAGGTTATAAATTCAATACTATGAATTTTTGCTAACAAAGTATGCAAATACCAATCATATCGGCACAAAATCTACCTGAACATAACTCTAATTGAAGCTCAATTGCTCTATGCCGAAGAGAATCACATATATTAGCTAATGCCCAGGAAGCAGTTACACGCACCTGAGCAGCAAACGTGACAATGATCAGGTAAAACTACAAAACATATATTTGGATCAAGTAAAAGGTCTACAGGAGATAATAATGAACAAAACCATATGTTAAAGAACATATTATGAGAGGAAGGTACCGAGACTGTAGAATCATGGCAGTTAAGCTCAGCTGCACGGATAAGTTTATCCAGCAAGCATCCACTGCAAAAATAACACCATATTAGCAGATCGAAAAATCAAAAAAGCTTTGCCATTGATAAAAGTCTATTTACTTCGTACTTATAAACAATTTGTGAAAAAGATGCCAGAACACCAATTGCTCGACAAGCAGCCGATTTGATGGAAGGAGCCTTGTCATTTAGTGCTGCAGAAACCTGAACATGGTAATTTAAAGAGACATGAAACCAATAGGCATAGCGATGCCCATTTTCACATTCATCTCGATAAAAAAAAATGATATCTACAAAAGGTGAGCAGCAAACTGTAACAAACATACAGTAGAAGATATAATTGATTCTTGCATGTCTTCATTCAGCATAGAAAAAACTGAGGAAGTCAATCCGGCAAAACAATTAAATGCTGCAGCCCTCACCTAGCATAGAAATAAACAAAGGCATAAACTGACATGTTAAAAATGCTGCTAATTACACAAAAACTCGCACTTGTTTTTCACCACATAAAATTGATGTAACAAAGCTCAAGTGCCGAGCAGCCTAAAAGGTGCATTATGCATGGGAAAATGAAAGCTCAAACCCAGAATAAATGGAGGGGAAAAAATGAATTCACAATAATCCTTGAAAGGCTTAAGGCATCAAAACAGGTCTTATCAAAAAAGCTATGACGTTGATGGATTAAAGTCTATACAAGACAAAAGAACCAAGACTAAACCAGACACCAAAGTCGAGAATACGAAAGTCTTCATGAGTTATTGTGACTAGCTTGAAAATTAGTAGAACCTAGGAGAAAGAGGCAAAAAGATTTTTTATTTATGCCTCAATCAGAGAACACAAGCTGAAAAGTTTTATCCATCAAATGAGATGAACTTCTGAGAAAAATTTGAGACTAGAAGGAGCTTGGATCATTAATAAGCACAATCATAGGTACCATTGGGGAGAATAGTTGCACCAATATGTGAAGAAATAGTAGCAGGAACTGTGAACCTTAGATGGCTGGCATAATTTTTCCAGACATAAGACTTAAAATATCAGTAGGCCCAACAAACATATCTAAAGATATAAAAAAAATAAAAAATAAAAAAATAGTAGTGGGGATGTCAACATCTAATAAACCATCAGCATCAAGTGAAGGCACAAAAAAAAGGTGAAATCTAAATAAGTCTCTAATGCATGTGAACAATCCAAAGGGGGCAAGTCTGTGAGAGCAAGCAGTAAGTTGGTAGGCTACAATTGATCATGAGCATTTACTAAACATCAATCTTTCATGCCCAAGCTGTGATCAAGAAAGCAAGCCCCAACCAACAGGACTCATGGATAGAAAGTTTCTCAAATCTAAATGGGTCTTTAAGCAATAAATATAGTCAAAACCAAAGATTTTCCAAGACAAACTGTGAGGCAAACCTTCAATTCCTTTTTTTTCCAATCGCCATATGATAAGTATCAATCCACATCTCCAAAACAAAGGGGGTTGAAACATCTATTTTAGCAAAAATGTAATTCATAGACAGTCAAGAAAATCTAGCATTAAAAGAATCAATGAAATTGACAAAATTTATAACTTGAGAGTATAATGTAGATGGATCAATATTAGACATGAAGATGAGGAATAACACCCAAACCAGGTTAATAGGAGGCTCCTCAAGGGAATTAAAGCATATAGATCAATTAATCATATGCATTGATAAAGCATTCATATAATATCAACATTGTGAGAAAATCCATGAATAATCTACTTTCAAAAATATCTTGATAGGCCCCAAACATCAATCAAGAAGCCCAAACAAAAATCAAGCATAAGGGTACAAATAATCTCTAGGCTTAAGCAATCAAATACACTTGCAGATTTACAATCTCATCCAGAAACAAATGTGGATCTGCAAGTGCATTTGATTGCTTAAGCCTGGAGATTATTTATTGCAAACTAATATTTGACGTCAGCAAAAAGAAGGAAATTGTTGGATTTATAAGCTATATGATATGTTCTATCAGTTTTCATGACAAAAAATGTATAATTGAATTCTCCAATATATATACTAAATAGGTGCATTGGTTCTACGAACGTGTAAAAGGGATACTTATATGGATTGTACATTTGATACCTGAATTTTGATCTTGATTTGAGCGTGGAAGAACCAAAATTATATTCAGATAGATATTTAGAACTTTAGTTATAATAATTTGATTTTAGAGGCCTATAAAATTTACTTGCATGGTTCGTTTTGCTCACAAGCTAATTTTACTATTTAATTATCTTTTTATATTAATAATTACGGATAATAAGCTATTTAAAAAAAAATAAGGATAATAAGCTATTTGAAAAAAATTAAGGATAATAAGCTTAAATTAAATACCAATATATTTTTAATATTTAATATAAAAGATAGCATCCAGCTTTTACAAGATTTAGCAAAGTTGAAAAAACAAATAAATACTGGTACACTTATCTAGCTGCGAAGAAACTTCCACACATATTGTCAAAAAAAGAAAAGGAGAGAGTGAAAGTCATGAGAAATGATGTATTAGCCTATAGAATCCATTATAAATAAAACTGCTGACAACTGTGGCACACTTAGGGATGACTATTGAGAGGTGTAGGTGAACACAAACCTGAAGACAAAGCCTCATTGTTGACATTAAGCAAAACAAATGACACCAATATAGGGCTCCAAGGCGTTCGCAAAGCGGGCCTGACAGGGAGGAGGTAGAGAAATAATAAGGGGATGAAATTTTGGACGATCAACGATATTTGGAGGGGGATAGAGCATGTTTGGCGACTGTAAAAACTAAAAACAATAAGAAAAATCATGAAAAACTGTGGCAAGTATGAATAAGGGTGTAAGTTAAAATTGTTGCATGGATAAAGGCAGGACAATGAATCGAAAATGATAAAAGTGGTTGTCTCGCTGTGAACAGCAATTGGCTACGAGTTGGTTGACAAATGAAGCCTCGGAGCATAATGAAGCATAAACACCTCAATCCTACCAAGTTACGAAAAAATATTACATCAGTACTATGCACGTAGAGTAACGTGCGTAGATAATGAAATCACGCCACGACACCCCGCGCGACATAGAAAAAAAAATGGCGCAGTAACACGAGGAATACCCCCCTGTGTTATTCATGTGTTATTGTGTCATGAGAATATTCTTAGTGTTATAATAACACAATAACACATCAATAACACATGAATAACACATGAATAACACACAATAACACATGAATAACACGGGAGAGAATATTCCCCCGTGTTACTGCGCCGTTTTTTTCTCTGTCGGGAATATTTCCCGTGTTATTCAAGTGTTATTGTGTGTTATTCATGTGTTATTGTATCCTGAGAATATTCCTCGTGTTATAATAACACAATAACACATCAATAACACATGAATAACACATGATAACACATGAATAACACGCAATAACACATGAATAACACAGGGGGGAATATTCCCCATGTTACTGCGTCGTTTTTTCTTCCCTGTCGCGCAGGGTGTCGTGGCGTGATTTCATTGGCCTTCCCTGTCGCGCGGGGTGTCGTGGCATGATTTCATTGGCTACACACGTTACTTCTACGTGTGTAGTACTGATGTAATATTTTTTCCCAGGTTACAGATATAACGGCTAAAAGAAATTTAAGAATACAGCATTCCAATAATGATAATTAGGAGAAAACAGCTCCAAATAAAATAAACAAAATCAAAAGTCTTCTCAAACCGGGAAATAGCAACACATAAACAATTCCATTACAAAACAACCTAATTAGAAATAGCGAAATATGATTGAAGTAAAAAAGGAATAAAAGATACACTGAAATCGTAACATCTCCAAAATTTGATCCTTCTAAGCTTTCCATGTTCTCTTTTCTTGCAATGCAGAAGTAGCATGGATCAATAAAATGTATAAACGCTTCCAAAATGGACTTCAAATGAAAAGGTATACAATTAGATTAATACAAAAATATTATCATATTCAAATTTAATTTCTATATAGTTAAATAAAATGTTTATCTATCCAACCCACTGCTTCAGCACATTATCTCTTTAAGGTGCCCAACACTACAGGTTCTTTTTGTGTGTAGATGTGGCTGGGAGAAAGTTGATGTGCTAATAACGCAATGACACATTGCATTGCCATGGGCTATCTGTGTAGTAACTGAGCATGCATTGTTTGCATTAATTTTCCAGTTCATTAAGTAGATGCATGCAAAAATGAAATTTCATATAAATAGCATTCACATTTAGATCTTGCTATCAGATTATTGAAACCTTAAAATACTGCATAGAGAAGACAATATATAAAGACAAGCATCAAAAGAGATTTACATACCATTGGTGCACAATGGCATATAGCAAGAGGCAGGTGTTTCCGTATAACCTCAGACCATTGCATAACTGCTGGAGAGTAATCAGTAGGATCTTTATTTGAAGAATCAGAAATATCAAATTGATATGAAGGGGCGGAAGCAACCCTCTTCTCTCTGATTGTATTTGACATAAGTTGTATATCCAAAAATCTAAACTCTAAAAGGTCATCTGCTCCCTTGAATCCAGAAACTGCACGGAGGCACTCATCAATAACCTGAATCACAATTTAATTTCAGATGATCGAAGAAAATAAAAATTCAGCATTAGTCGTGCAAAAAAATAATAATATTTCTCTCTCCTCAAAAATTCTCTGCAGAACTTTAGTGGCTAATAAGTTATTAAAACTTCACAATCGGTAAAAGTTACAGCATTATTTGGTCAAAATACTTGCGAGTAAGAAATTTATAAAGGAAAGCAGGAAGGAAGATAAATGAAACAAAAGGGGAGTTCAAAACCTTCTTACTTCCATAAACAAAAAAATCCTAGCAGCTTCCTCAGCTGAAAGCTAGAAAAATTAGATTGAGTTATCCAATTTTTATATAAATTTTCATGAATTATGATACTTAACTGCCCCTAAATATGCGCTTTGAAAATCAGTAAGAACTTTAAAAAAAAAAATGGACCTATGCAACTAGAATATCTCCAAAACCAAAAATTTTAAAAATAGCCATAAACTTTGACCAACAACAACAACAAAGCCTTCATCCTTCATCCTTCATCCCACTACGTGAGGTCAGCTACATGAATCATTTTTCTCCATTGCATCCTATTTAGTGTCATATATTCATTTAGTTCTAACAAATTAAGACAAATTAAGATCATTTTTTAATACAATAAGCCCAACTCTTCCAAATAAATTAAGAACATTTTTAGTTCATCCCATTACTTTGACCACAAGAAAAAAAAAATCTTATACAAAATTTACAGAAAATTTAAATTGTAGACAAGCATCAAAGTCACTCAATAATTTAGTAAATTTTACTCTTTCTTTTTCTTTTATTTTTTTTATTTTCTAGGGTTCCCTCGAGTATATGCTCACTTGCTCATTTCTTCTTCTCTATTAATATCCTCATTGAATTCATGCACATTATCTCCGACATTCTTCTCATCATCTTCCTTTTAAACATCAATATGTGTATTTCTAACGGGACATGCAATCACAAAGTGATCCATTCAAAACAAGCTTTAACAAAAACTGTAGAACCACATGATGTAGCAACAAACATTTCTTCAGTATATTTGTTAATTGTAATGCTACCTTCTTTATATAGAAAGCCTGCGGCAAAATGAGTATGAGTACTTTGGCCAATAAAAATATCTTTGCAGTACATAACTTCAAGGGAAACTTGGCTTTATATATCCCATAATAGCAAAAGATGGAAAAATATAGCCATTGTTCGTTTTTTAAAGAAATATGCACGAATGTTTGTTTCAAAGAAAAATATACTTGGTATGAAACCTTCAGTATTTATCAAATAGTCAAAATCTTTGAATAGTTATGTGATATTTCGATGATAGAAGTTCACAAGCCTTTCTCTTTCAAACACCTTTTCTATTTTTTGCATGCATGTTTAGGCTACTACAATATTTTGGAAAGCACTACAGAGAAGAGTCACTCAAATGATGAGAAGTTTCCCAAGAAAAAAATTACATTAATGCATCCCATGCATAAGTTACTAGGAAGAGGTCCGCACAACCAATTCAATTGAATACAAATGTAAATAGTGCATAACAAACATAATTTCTCCAAGCCAAGTTTATAATATAAAGTGTTGCCAAATTCAAAACAATATAAGTATGTAACAAAAAGACTGTATAACCTCTAAAACTATATAATGCAAAAGTTGTACACAACACATCTGTCCACTCACCACAGTGCTCCTTAACCCTACCAGAAATTAATATAGAGTGAGTTACAAGAAGCTCAGCCAAATAATCTAATCTAAATAAAAAATTTTATAGACAGAAAAGAAACAACATACATAAAAATCATGGCTCGTGTGCGTGATAGAACATATCATAACATGCTTTAAACATGTAAATTATTTAAAGAAAAAAACATGTATTGTAGCAATCATGACATCTATGCAAAGCATATATTGCATCTATTCAAGTGCAATCATAGGTATATCCAAAAAGATTTCAGTCAATAGTCGTAATCATAGAAATGTCACTTTCAATTGCATAAGATTTCACTATTCTCATATTGCTTATGTCATTGGGTCGTCAGCATGCCCGACGACTTCATTAACTATTGATAAAAGTTAGGCCCCTCTCAATATTGTAATTATCAATAGTCCACATTAATACTAACAGTTCCCTACGTTTTGTCCCAACTTGATACCAACAACTCCCGGATTTTGTCTCCGTCTGAATACCAGAAGTGGGAAATCTCATTATTCTCTATCTTCTGTACTTGCAAATATTCATATAATAGTCCACCTAACACAATACTTCTGATATTCTAGTAATCATAATTCTTGAAATAAGTAACCAAACACAATCCATAATCATATGTGCAATCAAAATGGTAATAATACCTACAAGCAAACATATCTTAACATGCTCGACACTTCTATATTATCAGAAAATCATAATCATTATCAGTGTTAGCTCAATGTTGGCATGAATATAATAATCGTAAGTATTTGACATGTTGAAGCTCTAAATAAAACCATATATCAAGGAAGGCATCTAGAAAATCTATAAAGTTATTATTCTTAATTAAGCACATGATTATTTCAATTGATTTTACGGAGCATCCCTACAACAAATTTTCTCAGTAATGCCTTGAGCTTGCCTCCTAGTATAATCAACCTGAAAATAATAAATCTCTTAGGATAACAAGAAATTATTGACTTATATTGTGATTTAGCCACCAACATAACTCATTTACAAATTCTTACCTCAAAAGAACTTCTCAACATAATCATCCCTTCTCTGATACTTCATATTCTCCTTTCTTCTTTTCCTTTCAATATAGATGTTGACCTCATTTTGTGAGGTCTTTTCTTCTCCTCCTTAGAGCCTAGGTTCTAGCTCTAGAAATTCCTATGGACCATCTTAGAAAACTAGAATTGAGACTCACCCTTCTAGAAATTCTAGCCAATTCCTATTTTCCTTTGATGTCTAGCATCTTTGGCACAAGATCATCGTCTTATGAATGAGCGGTTATGGACTATTTTGCGAAGATTCGAGGAAAATGTTTCAAATAGGACTTCAAGCCTTAGGAAAACATTCGTCACGACTCTTTCGTCACGTACACACACAAAGTACACGAAGTTCACGAAATTGCGCGAAATCGGACTTCAATTAAGCCCAAAGGACGGGTGAAAATGCGAACTTTTCCGGATGACCTCCGACGACAAAATGGACTGCACCAACGCGTCCGGGATACCAATTTTGGTAGGAAAGGACACCCATATTGCCATACTTTCGACACGAGAAAATTGGCACGCAAATCAGTGAATTCGTCAAAATGACCTCTGACGGCAAAATAAACTTTACCAGAGCGTTTGGAATGTCGAAATTACCTAGGGAGGACACCTATTTTGCTTGGGCGCCGCACATGGATAAATCGCATGAAATTTGATATATATATATATATATTTATATATAATTCTTATTTTTTTCCCTAAATCCCTAAATAGCCAAATCCCTCACACCCGATCCCGCCTCCTCTCCG